AGGAGTTATTGTCTCCGTGTTAGGAAAGGGAACTGATGGACAAGGCAGTTAGAGTCACATGTGCGGAGCCACCGCACTAAGAAATGACTCGGGTACAAGAGGACCTGGCCCCATAGCCCTAAAGGAAGACGAGTCATGGGGCTGTTGCAGAACACAGACAGAAAGTGAGCGACTGTTACCGTGAGCTCAGAGAGGAGGGGGGCTTCTGGAGCAGAGGCACCGTGCTGCGCTAGAGAGCAATGGGAGTGGGCGTGCAGAGCTGAGGGGAAAGGAATCCAGGTGAGGGAACAGCGTAGCAGAGCGCAGTGTGAGCCCAGATCAGAGGTGCAGTGGGCCACAGACTTAGGTGGCCAAGGGGCCGACTGGTAGACAGACAGGACAGGTGGACACAGCCAGGTCATGCAGGGGGCTGTTCCAGGTGCCAAGCCCTCCCTGCTGTGTCTTGCCCGAGCACCAGGCCCACCGTACCACCACTGGTGGCCAAGGGATGGAGCCCCGATCTGGGATGGGAGGAGGAGGGCAATTTGATGTCCTTCCTGCTCCCCTTTCCTTCACAGCTCCAAACATTCCAGCCAATCACTGCAGCTTCCTCCCGGCCTCCGCAAGTCCTTTGAGGAGAAGCTACAGCAGACCCCATCAAATCCCAACTCCACCGCCCCCTGCAGGGACTTCCCTCCCCAGCCTGGGTTTTCTGATGGAGATGACAAGGAGGGAGTGGGAAGGGGAGAGGAGAGGCCCGGGCACTGTGCCTGCCTGGGGGGCTCCAAGCTGGTTAACCAGACAGCTGGGTGCCAAGGCTAGGACAGGAATAGGGGGTCCCAGGTTCGGTGGGGGGTTCGAGGACCCTGCGGGTGGAGCCGGCTCCCGGGGGATCCTGTCTCAGCAGTCAGTCCCGGGAGAGGACCAAGGGATGCCAGGAACCAGCCTCGGTTCCTCTCCTGAGGACTTCCCAGCCTTGGAAGCCCCCCAACCCCCACCCCCCGCAGCAGGAAGTGAGTCACCACCTCTCAAGGCCTACCGGCGACAGCCGGCGGCCAAGGACAGCGTTAGGAAGCGTGACCAGGCTGACTGGCAGACCAAGGGCTGGTTCCCGCCAAACCTGGGGTGATCGATGATCTACCAGCCCCACAGGACCACGTCCCCCCACCCATCTCCCAGGGCAGCAGGGAGACGGACAGAGGGACGGAGGCAGGACTGGCCTCCCCCCAAGGCCCTGTCCCAGCCCCTCCGGCCGTCTTTGCCCCAGGAACAGTGAGGGGTTCACTCCCTCCTGGAATCGGAGGAGGGGGTTGTGGGGGAAAGCCAAGTCGGACAGAAACTGTGGGGGAAATGCTCCTATCGAGAGGTTAAATACAAATTTTTCCAGACGAGTTTGTCTTCTGCCGTGTTTCCACTGTTCTGGTAAGAACAAATTGCACAGGCACGTATCAAGCTGTGACACGTGAATTGTGTCGTTTTGGTGATTTCGCGTAGGGGTTAAATGCGCTGGTATTGGCGTTGAGCAATATAAAGATGAATGGTAAGATGAGTGCTGATTTAATTAAAAATTAAATTTTTTATTTTCCTTTACTTGGAGCAACACAGGGCTGCACAGGAGGCCTGCGGGGTGGGACAGAGGCAGGACGGAGAGGGTTGCACAGCAGTGGGGATGTGCTCTGCAGGGTCCACAAGTGTGGGTGTTGGCGCCAACCAGTCAAACTACAGGCTTTGCACATGTTTTGCTATAATCAAAGTCAGACTTACCTTCTGGTCCCGCCTTCCAGTTTTCCAGGACCCGTCCGTCTGGGGCGTGTGGAACAGAGAAGAGGGGGTGGCTTTCCGGTCAGGATGTGGAGCTCTGGACAAAAGCTCAGCCCACGCCTGGAGACCGATGGACAATGGCCTTGCCGGGGGGTTGAGGACCTAAGCCTCACACACAGACATTTGGAGAGAATGTTCTGAAACGCTGGGGTGGAGGGGCAGACATGCATAAACAAATGTGAGCATACACATCTATAGTCTGCTTTTGTGCTATTCTGTCTTGTTTGGTCTTTTCTTCACCCCAAGGAGTTGGATTTTTCTCATAGGCTGGGTTTTGTCTTCATTCCATCAGCAGGTGTTCACAGGGTGCCTACGATGTGCTAGGAAATAAATAGCAATAAGTCAGACAGCAGTCCCTGCCTCCTGGAGTTCACATCCAGTGGGGCTGCAGTGGGAGGCAGTCAGGCTGCTGAGTGCTGACAAGACACAGAGCCCTACCAGACGCATCAGGAAGGGCTCCTGAGCAGCCTCCTAAGAGAAGGGCAGGAGTCACCAAGTGGACACAAAGGAAGGGAGCTCCAGGCAGAGATCACAGCACATGCAAAGGTCCAGAGTCAAGAGCCATCCTGCCACGTTCAGGAGCCTTGGGTGGTTCCATGTGGCTGAAGCTTAGGGACTGGACGTGAAGCTGGAGAGGCCAGAGGGCGGGAGGGCAGGTTCTTAGCACGCCACAGAAAGACGCCCTGGCTTGGTGGAAGGCCGTCAGGGTTATACAGGAATAACGTGATCCCACTGAATGCAGCTGAGCTGGCTGAGGCCCGGAGTCCTGGCAGGGCTGAATGGGGACGGGTATTAGTCAGTGGCTAAGGAGATTTTGCAGGAAGGGTTTAGCCAAATTTTCTCATAACAAAAATGAAGTACGAAAGACATGCTAATGGAGATATTAATTAGTGTGGGTTGTTACTGAGTCCATAAGGAGCTTCCTTTTGAAATGGTTCCCCACCCTGGCTCTGCCCCTAGGCAGGGCACTGACCTCAGTGACAGGCTCCTCCTAGGCATGAGTGGGTCTGATTCATTCACTTTTGCCTAACAATGCACAGCCAGCTATGTGGATGCCTGATATATGAGTGGATGGGTGGGTGGGTCAATGCATACCTGCCTGGATGGATGGATGGATGAATGGATGGGTGGATGCATGCATGCATGCATGCATGCATGCATGGATGGATGAATGAGTGAATAGACAGGTGAGTGGGTGAGTGGGTAGATGAATGAATGGGTAGATAGAAGTGTAGGTGAATGGAAGAGTGGGTAATTGTTTTATAAGATTTGATTTGAAGATTCTTTTGATAGCAGGACACAATACAATGGCACTTGGATAGATGAAAGGCAAAACTTTTTGTTACTTTAGTTCCAAAAGAGAGAAGGCTTCCAGGCAGGGCCGTACAGGGGTGCACCTGGGGAGAGGTGAACAGCAAGCTGGTGCTGTAGGCAGCCGCTTATGTATGGGAAACTGGTTTCTCAGACTCCCTGAGGATTGGCTAATTTGAATAATTTTTCAAGTTCCAGGTCTAGGGGCTGTCCATAGTGATGAGGTACCCAGCCTTGGGGTGATTAGGGCGGTTGCAGATTCGGGCCCAGAGTGTGAGAGTCTGATAAGGGAAGTGATTAGACTGCAAACAGCTGCTCGAGAGCTGACCAGCCTCCAGCCAGGACTCCAACACTGGGTCAAGACATCTTTTTTTAAAAAAGCTATATTGCAGTCGTGGATGGAGAAGCGTGTAGATGGATGGATGGATGGACGCCTTTTGAAGCTCTGTCAGTCAACGGTATTTACAGAATCATCGACCTTGGATTCAGATTTTTGAGGATCCTCCTCTCATAGATGTGGAACCCTAGAACGTCTGGGCTGGAAGGGACTCCATGAGGTCTCTGTCTGTCCTGATGGGTCTCCACAAGCTTCGGATCATAGGAGACCCCTTCAATAATTCGATGAAAGCCACAGATCCTCTCCGCTGGAGGAAGCACAGACACACAGTCCCATATACCATTAGAGGGCTCATGGACTCTGGGAAGCCTGTCCACAGAGGCCCGTCCCCACCTGGGAAGTCAGAACCTGCAGATTAAAGAGCCTCAATGGCATGTGCAGAGGAGTCAGCAGAGACACCCCGGTCGGGGAACGGACTTTACTGAAGTCTATGCAACCAGTTCACAGCCAAGCCAGGCCCAGATCTTGGGCCTCCCCACAAACCTTTCTGGGACTCAGTTTCCCCATCTCTATGTTGATGGAATTAGACCCCATCACTGGTTCGTAGACTTGGGTCAGAGAAGATACAGGGGAACAGGAGACAGCAGGTGGGGTTCCAGCCTCCCTGTCCATTCCCCAATCCACCAGGCCCACTTCATCTGCTCTCTTTTGAAGGAAAGGCTTAAGGCTTTTTAAAAAAGTGTTTGAAGCCCCTGCGCTTTCCAGCCTCTAAGCTTCTGAGAGAGTTGAGTGCTGCGGATTGTCAGTAAGTCTCCAGAGCGAAGGCAAGAAAGCTGATCAGGGTTGAAGGGGCAGGAGACCACAGCCAAACACCCCCAGAGAAATGGTTGTGTCTCCGTGGGACACGCACACTTAACCGTCGCCAGAAAACAGGACCGGGAAGGATACTCATTCTCTGAAGGTGTCTCTGAGTTTCTGTCACCGTCACCCCACGGGAGGCATACACAGCATAAAAAAAAAAACAATCAGAGCTCCTCCTGCCCACTGTCTGTGTGCATCTTCCGTGTAAATGCCCGGTGTTTGCACCTACACTCAGACACAAAACAATCATGTAGGGAAAATAATGGTGGCAATACACGTTATATTGGACAATTTTATTCACATATGGAGTGGGCCAGCCACCTACCTCATTGCCAGAAGGAAGAAAACTAGTATTTAGGAGCCACCTGCTACTCATCCACTAGCCACAGCCACTATTTCATCTAATTGAGAAAGGGGATAGCGTAGTGGTTAAGAACACGGACCTTGGAGCCAGACCGCCTGGTTCCTGTGAGGATTAGCAAGTTGATGGATTTATGTGCTTAGGAAAGTGCCTGACACAGAGGAAGAGTTACATCCGTGGCAGGCGGTTGTCAATCCTTACCACACCCCCCCAGAGATTTGTCACCATCAGCTCCATTTCACAGCTCAGAGAGGTTAAGCAACTTGCCAAGGTCCTCAGCCAGGAAAGTGACAGCTCTGGGACTGAAATCCAGGACTGGCCGACCGGCAGCAGAGGACATGACACAATAACCACTCCGAGGCTCTAGTGGGCAGCTGCCGGTCTACACAATAGAACATTGCTTGGGCTAATCTGGAAACCTTCCGTGTGGCTCACCAAACTCTCCAGGCAGAGCCCTGAGCGGCTGCAGCCACTCCACCTGGACTTTGCAGCCCTGGGTCCTAGACACTGCAGCCCGCTGGCTCGGCACTGGGCAGGACCGCGGGGCCAGGCTGGAGGTGGAGGGAGGAAGTGCCCAGGAGGGCTATGACATCACCGCCCAGCCCTTGAAAGATGAGCTGTTCCCGCTGCCACTCCAGCTCCGCTCGTCTCTGGCGGCTTCTCAGAGGGGCAGGGACGTCGGGCGGCCCCGCTGGACCAAGGGAGGAACTGAGACCGGCGCGCGGCTTGCTTCAGACAAGGTAGGTGCTGGGCAGGGGCTGGTCCAGCCACCGCCTCACTTTTGCCAGAGGACAGCAGGTCCCAGCGCCGAGGGAGGGCCGGCAGGTGGGTGTCACAGGGGCCGATTCCTGGGCTGGGGGAGAAGTTTTCCTCGGGTCCCGGGGAGTTTGTGGAAAGTTCCCTTCCTTCCCTCATCCTGACAAGTGACTGGAAAGACCTGAGCAGGAGGAGTTGTCCTGTTTGTTCTATGTTTGTCTTCTTCCTGAATCGAGGTGACAGACAGCATGTGTGTACTTGTGTGAGCGACTTAGTGATTTGATTTTTATAGATTCGGGGTGGACGCCTCGGACTAAAGCAGCAAGGAGCACGTGTGGTACAGCCGGGGTGGGCGTGGGGTTTAGAGGCTGGAATCTAGCTTTTCACTCATGGCTCTGCCACTCACGGGCCCTGTGTGAGGCGGGACAAGTTACTTAACCTCTCTGAGCCTCAGTTTGTCTGCAGAGTACTCTGCTCGCCTGCTCCCTGGGGTGGCGGGGGTTAGATCAGACTGCAGCCGGGAGGAGGTTTGTAAATGTCAACTCAGGCTTCTCGTCCCTCCTGTCTCAGACCTGGCTGTCCGGGGCGGAAGGATAAAAGGTGTGCTGGTTCAGAGCACAGGCTTTGCATCCGGCCCTGGGTCGGAATCCCAGCTCTGCTCTCGTCCCCTGGGTAACATTTTTGAGCAAATTATTTTCTCCCTGTTTCCTGAGCCATAAAGATGACCTGGCAGGGTGGTTGCAAAGATAGAAACGGGTTCATGCCTGTGAAGCGCCGCATATGCAGTCGGTGCTCGATAAATGGTAACGATTATTAGAGCAGCTGAGGGCAGGGAGTGTCATGAGCCTGGGCTGGGTGGGCGGTGGGTGTTGCTCTCCTGGGCAGGTTAGAATGTGCCTCCCTGAGTCACAGGTTGCCTGTGGCTCCCGCGGGTGCAGGATGTGGGAGCTCTGGCCCAGGTGTGGACAACGGGGGCCCCTGGGCCAACCCACCTCTTAGTCCTTCTCTGAGTGAGAGACGATGGTGATGCTGGGTGATGACAACATTCCGAAACTGGGAGCCCCACAAGCTGGAAGGAAGGATTTGCTGTTTTTTCCTGCCTGGGGCCAGAGTCGGGGGGCGGCTAGGGAACAGCCGGGAGAAGGAGTTTTGGCAAACATTGAAAATAAGCATGTGCTGGCTCCCCAGGCAGGACCCCCGGGTATCATTCCAGCTTGGCTCTGAATTCACAAAACCCTCGCAACTGTGTGCTCCAAGCCCCTTGTGGTACAGATGAGGAAACCGAGTCTCAGGGCAGGGATGGAACCTCAGCAAAACCATTTGCTCAGCCTCCAGGAAAATGCCTCAACCTCAATGGGACTCCGGCCCTGTCACCAGTCAACATGGGAGGTTCGATTGATTGACTGAGCCTGGATGGTGAGACTGAGGACTGGGGATTAGGCAGAATTCAGGAGACGCTGGCCAAGGGCACCAAGCAGGGGAAATAGCTGGGCCACGTGGTCTCAGCTAATATGGTGACTGCATTCAGATTAAAAGTTCAGAGGGGTGCGAGGGGAAAGCTGAGGGCTCCCTTCTCACCAGGTGGTCAGGGAGAGGCCACCCCAGGCAGGGGAGATGCCCTGCGGGCCCACCAGGGCACTCTGGTTTTCAGAATGAAAATAGGGTTCTCGTCTGTGCCTTCGTGGCTGCCTCCTCTGCACTGAGAATGGCAGCCAGCACAAAGAGGACACTGGTCAGTGTTTGCTGAATGACTGAATGGTTGGGTGGATGGATGGATGGATGGATGGATGGGTGGATGGATGGATGGATAAATGAATATTGGTCACGTAGCAGATACTAAAAGCACACAGAGCATACTACTAAGTGGAAGAAACCAATCTGAGAAGGCTACATACTGTGATTCCAATTATGTGACATTCTGGAAAAGGCAAAACTATGGAGACAGTAAAAGACCAGTGGTTGCCAGGGGTTAGGCGACAGGTGGATGAACAGGTGGAGCACGGAGGATTTTCAGGGCAATGAAATGATTCTGGATGATACTGTCATGGTGGATACGTGTCATTACACATTTGTGCAAACCCACAGAACACGCAACACAAAGAACGAACTCTGGTGCGCCCTGTGGACCTGGGTGATAATGACGTGTCCCTGTAGGTTCATTGGTTGTAATAAATATACCTCTCTGATGCGGGATGTTGATAGCGGGGGAGATTATGCGTGTGTGAAGGCAGGAGGTATAGGGGAAATCTCTGTACTTTTCACTCAATTTTTCTGTGAATCTAAAACTGCCCTAAAAAACAAAGTCTATTTAAAAAAAAAAAAAAAAGCAACACAGAGCAGATCAGAAGGCACGTGAGCATCTCAGGGCCATGAGTCAAATGGTCAGAACTTACTAAGTCTTGATACCGTGAATGCGTCACTTCCAATACCCACCCGGTCCAGGGACGCCCTGACCCCTGAGTGTCTCAGTGCACATGCTTCCGGAGATGGAGAGCTCACTACCTTACAAGGCCAGCTGCTCTATTTCGGGAGAGTTCTACCGTTAAAAAGTCCCTCCTTAGACTGAAGCTAAACTCCCCTCCCCCTAAGCGACGGTCCGCTTGCTATTTCTCAGAGTTGCCCTGAGTAAGTCTGGTCCTTATTGGCCCTCCCTGAGCTAAACATCCACAGCTCCTTAATCAAAACACGCTTTCCACAACAAACCCACGAAGTCAGCTGTTTCTTTGACTCTGTCATCAAAGTGGGATCTGTAGATTCTGGAGTTAGAATAATGTGAACCTCCCAAAAAATCATCAGAATACAAAGCAGGGTGGAACAAACATGAGCTCCGGGTTCAAATCCTGATGCTTTCCTGGCTAGAGCTGCTCTCTGAGCCTCGGTTTTCTCAGCTGTACAATGGGAATAGTCATTCCTGTTTCTAGGACCCTGGCGAGGTTTAACTCAGACGGTGCTGATGGGGGGCAAGCAGGTGCTAGGTTCCCACAGGTGCCCACCCAGCGGAGGGATGGCCTACGGGGACAGGAACAAGAGCCTGTGTCTACCAGAAGGGTTGTCTGTGTCCTGCAGCAGGGCCGCTGTGGTTTTGGGGTTCCTGGGAAAAGAAAGGGCACCCCCATGATGCTCATGTTCCCAGGCCGTGCATCTCTGCGCGGCGACAGCAGGAGCCCTGTCATACCTCCCTTAGGGGCTCAGATTTTAGGTTTCCGCCCCACCCACCCCCAACACCTCGGGGCCTCTCTGATCCCTGTGGCCCGTGGAGCGCTGTGAGGTGGGGCGCAGAGAGCTGACTTCCAGACCCAGACCCAAACTCTCTGGCTAGCTGAGCAAACTAAGGCAAGTCACTTTGCTTCTCTGAGCCTCATGGGTCCGAATCTGAAAATCAGCAGTGCCTGCGCCGGATGTCTCATGAGGGGTTGTAAACTGTAGAGCGCCGGGCCCTGGAGCAGCTGCAGCGCTCCTGTGGTTGTTATTGCGGTCATTTGCACCCGTGATGCCATGTCTCCTCCTCTTACCTGCGGGTTCCCCAAGTGGCCTACTCCAGGGAGGATGTGGCCTCAAGGGGGAAGACCAGCCATTTTCAAACTCTGTTGTACATCCAAGTCATCCGGGTGTTGGTCCCCCATGTTGACGCTGGGGCCTCCCTTGGGACTCCCACTGAGATGACTGGGTGCCCCAGGACTTGCCAATATCTCCAGGGACTTAGAAGCAGGGGACCTCCGTCCACACTTTGAGACAAACTGCCTTAGCAAGGGGCTCTCTGAGGGGAGCAAACTTGTCCCTGCCCACCCTCCCAGACCTCTGTCCTCACAGCCCCCAAACCCCTCCCGGGGCTCCATCACTGCCCCCTCCCACCTCGTCTCGGGCACAGACAGAGGCCCCCTCCCTGAGAACTCGGGGCCTCAGGCGGCTCCCAGCCCAGCTCTCCTGGAGGCAGGTTTGGACCTCAAAGTTCTGGGAAGCGCCATCTACTGTGCACTGGAATACGCCTGCGGGGTGACACCTGACTGCGGAGGGGAGGTCCCTGGGGTCCTTCCAGAACCCCTGCAATTGCACCTTCTCAGCACGGGCGCTGCCTCCCAGGAAGCCCGGGGGTGGGAGGGACGTCACCTCTCGGCTGCACCTGGCGCAAGTGTCCCCCTCTCTGGAGCCCACTTTGCCTGTTAGTAAATCGAGGGGTGAGAGAAGGGGCTTCTAGGGTCCCTTCTGCCCAGAAATGTCCAGAAATGAATGGCTAGAATGCAAGAACATGACAGGGGAGGTGAAAAGTCAGACCAGGTGGGAAAAGGGTGTGGACACCTGGTCCAGGTATGCTTACACCGGGGAAAGGTCCTGCAGACAAGGGGGTCCGCACACAGCCTTTGTGGCAGCCACAGCAATGGAAAACAGGGGACTTGTGAAATGTATCGGGGCTCCTGGAGAGATGGACTCTTGGGTCGATGGTGCCTCGGCCCCGCCCCCACTCTTCCCCCTCCTTCTCCCTTTTCTGCTTCTTCTCTTACTCCTCCTCCTGCTGCTTCTTCGGAAGCCAACCGCAGGGATGCTGGTGGGAGCCTGAACCCTGAGCGGGGGCGCTTCCCCTGCTGGGGCAGAGTCCCAAAGCCCCAGCTGGGTGCTAACTCGTCTGGCTGGGACGCCTTGCACGCCCCGGGCAGTGGACATGTGTGTTTACCGTGAGGATAAATATCAGCCGCAGGGACTTTCCTCACAAGTGGCCTGGGAATGTCTCCTGAGAGTCTGTTTGGACTGTGGTGCCTGTGGCCAAGGGGGTGGAGGTGGGGGCACCGGGGGCAGTCACCTCACAGGACAATCCCTGGATCTGGGGGAAGAGCAGGTGACAGTTACTCCCGAGGCAAGAAAGGGAGCCAATGGCTAATGAGATCCTGGATGCCAGGGTGATCCCACTGGGTCCTCACCGCACCTCTGCCCCCTGGAGATAATGCTCCTAGTCCTTCGAGGGGGAGTGCCCAGGCTCAGAGTGGGAGCC